AATGTCCGATAAATGATACTTAATTTCTGCACCTTGTGCACATGTTATTTTGTTGTTCAATTTTTCTAATCACCATTGGTAACAAATTCCAGATAATCTAGGGGACAATTACCTAACATTACTAACAAATATTAGATCTTTTAAAAGGAGGTAAAATGCTTGGAGAAGATGATAAAGGACTTCTTCCAGAAAAGGAAAAACAACCAAGATCAGGGCATCCATCTAGTAACTTGGAAATGGCTGCTATTCTTCTCTCTTTTGGTGGTCTAGTTATTGGACTTTGAAAGAACGGAACAACGCTCTCCTAGTTAAATGGTTAAGGAGATTTACTAATGAGGAAAATGCCCTAGGACATTAGCACAAATATGGACTTTAACAGAAAGATTTGTGATCGAAGCACTGCAATTGAGGATACAGCCAAGGGCCTGATATTACCAAAAAAAAGCAACAACCGCTTCATATCTGGGAAGATGTGGGGTTGATTCCACCACAACCTCATTCCTGGACATTTTTGCTTTCTTGACAATAAACTAGAAGTAATTACAGTTATTAGAGTGATAAAAGTTTGCATCTAAGAAGAAATCTATTTTACAAAGAAATTTGGAAGTTCAGTCCATAATAGGGAGAAAGTGAACTCAGTGAGCCTCAGTTCTTCCAACGATGGGATGGTTTGGCCCCAAGATAAAACTGAGAACTCTACAGTTATTTTCTCAACTTAACAAAAGTTGAAGATGCTTTGCGTCAATCAGATCTGTTAAGGATGAAATATTCCTTATAGAAGTGAGGAAAAGCTCCAAAAGAAAAATCCCAGTCAACCCATCTCCCCAAACACTTGCAGTCTGTGACTAAGAGAAGAAAATCTCTTCATCATCTATTTTTGCATTGCCTTTCTACTGCTGGAGGATGCTCTTTTCGGGTTAAAATTTTTAATACCTTCTCTGTTTTTCCGGATAGGCTTGAATTTTGGCTTCCTAAAGCTGTTTCATGTTGGTGGCTGGAAGATAAAACTAAAGTGTATTGGAACCAAAGGTTAGTCCAAGACAGAGAGAACCCTTGGGAACTTTTTGGTGAACTTGCGCGACAAGTTGGAGGTGCCCTTCACAGAAGGTTTTTTTTTATCACAGTATTTTCTTTATATATATATATATATATATATATTAATTTGGATGGGAGATGCATATCAACATATTATAAGCCTTATCCATAAGGTTTGTTACCTTCTTTTTTATTTTAATAGATCCTGTCTCTTGTTCAAAATCGATATTAAAAAAAAATCTAATAAGAGATTTGAAGTTGGTACTTGCCAATGCCTAGTTCACGATATGGTGCAAGAACGCCCAAGGTCATGATGTAGACACGTACAGATCCATTTTCTTTCTTCTCAAGGCGGCATGCAATGGAGCCAACACATATATCACTGTAGTATGCTGCGAAAACAATAAAATTATGTAGTTTTAGCCTTTTCTTAATAAAACTTATTGGTACAATTCAAAAGGGAGTACTGCAGTTTTATTTAATGCACAACAATCATTGTAATAAGGTATATGAAATGGTAATTATTAACCATTAGACTGATTCAGATTTTAAATATGACAAGGAATTAACAGGATAATCTTATTTCTGAAGTTATACATCTAACATTTAAAAATAAACTGGACTAGGCATGCTGCAGCCTGCAGGTCCATTAATCAACAAATTACTGAATCCAGAGAGAAGGGTTTTAAAGGAAACTAAATTGTTCTTTTTCCTATGTTATTTTTTGCTTAAACACGCAAGTTTGCATGAAAGACCTGTGCAATGAGTTCAAATTGAAAATACAAAGAGCAAATGATGAGATGTTTGAGAAGCAGCGTCAAAATGATAGATGAAGAAAGTGAAAGCCGAAAAAGAAAAAGAAAAGGAAAAGGAAAAATCGAACTTTAAGACATACGTCACCTGAGAAGTAGCAGGGTCATGAAACACCCACACACATTTCTAATTTTTCCTAATTAAATGAAATGGAAATTGGTGAATTGGCAAGGACCATGTTAACTTATTAGTAACACTACAAACAACGAGCGAAGTGCAAAATATTTTATTAGTTCTGAAGAACATGAAAAGCATACCTACAAAATATTGGGAAATTGGTTTAGGGATAATAAAGATTAGGCAGCTAGGAATATAAGCCATACACGCCATTGAAAAAGGGATCTCACATTACTAAGTGTTCAGATAGATTGACTCGTACACATTCAAATTTTACTAAGTATATACGTCAGCAGTAAAAACATTATTCATCAACCAGCATATATGAACCCGGTGATCAGGTAGGCCTGCTGAAATCAAATATAATTAAAAATACGGGCTCATGCTTGACATCGTGCAGTGGATGAAGATAATGATAAAGAGTGGGTATTGTTTCAGACACCACCCATATCAAGCTTCTAGTCTAATAGTCGACTGTTATAGAGAGAGCACACAAGGATAATTCCTACTATCCTTGAAGAAAGATCAAAACATTCATTCCGTCAAGATTCCATTTAGGAATTTGCTGGAAACAGGAGAATCACACTGAAAAAGGGATTTCCAATGGACCAAACGAATTTCTTAGACCATCACCAGCTTAACTTACTGACCAATCACTCGATGGTTCCACATGATCAAACTAGTAAGAGAAAAAAATAAAAAAAATAGACAAAACCAACAGAAACGAAACGAAACAAGGTTAGAAACCTTTACGCACAATAAAAGCAACAAGAATTGACCACCTCACAGTAGCAATCAAAATCAAAGCCCACCCAGCGGAAAGCTTCCATGGTCGGATAAAACTACCAACAGTAACCATTGGATATCTAATTTTTCATACAAAGTATAATATAGGCTTAGATTAATTATTCCTACCAGAAGCTGGGGAACTCAAATGGAAAATTCTCAAATGGAGTAACTGATAGATAGCAGACCAGATTGAAGAATTGTCGAGCATTAGTGCTAATCCTTCATTTATTTACTCCCAAATTCAAAAAAATCCTTTATTTCTTTAAAGCCACACACCTGCATGTAAAAGATATTCGTACAGACAACCACGAAAACGTAAAATATCAAGACCTCTCGTTTGAAAGGTAAGCCCACCTAATCTATTTTTTTTGGTTTCCAATAGTTGTTCTCTCATACTAATATATATATATATATATATATATATATATATATATATATATATATATATATATAT